CTTGTCCCTGCTGTACCTCCGACTTCCTCTGGACAGCTGACCTCTGCTCCCTCCACAAAGCAGACTGTACAAGACAAACGCAAGAAGACAGGTTCCCTGCCTTCCTGCCTATAGTTTAGCTTATCTGAGTTGAGGACTATCCTTCCCTCCTTGTCTCTCTCTCCCCAACTTTCTTTTCTTTTTTTTCCCCCCCTTTTTGAGACAGGGTTTTACTATGCAGTTCAGGCTGGGCTTGAACTTACTGTGTAGCCCAGGCTGGCCTCAAACTCGGGGTGATCCTCCTGCCTCAGTCTCCCAAGTGCTGGAATTACAGGCCTGTGCCACCATGCCCAGCCCTCCTACTTTCTGTTTAAGACCAATTTTTCTTTCTCTTTTGAATCCCTAGTCTGTCTTCAGGTCTCTGCTTTCAGAAAGTCAGCTTCTTCTCTCAGCATGTGCATCCTCTGCCCAGGACACAGCATCTTTCCTCTGTTCTTGTAAAACTCCACGTCTACACGAAGAATAGTTTAGCAGTCGTTCAGTTTCCTTATTGCTTCTCTCTTTTAATCCTTTCCGATCACTGTTCTGGTCCACTGAGACCATGCAGGCACGCGACCTCTTGCTCTGCGATTCTAGAGGACTGGTCCCAGCGCCCGGGTGGCTTGTCCCTTCTGCGGTAGTTTTCCTTGTTGCTTCTGTCTCCTCAGCTGCATGAGGCTGTGCTCTCCGGGATGCAGCCTCTTACTTCCTTCATGAATTTTTCCCCTTCTGTGACCTGTTTCAGTGTTTTTCAAGATTTTGTCCTGGCTGCCTCACTTGATGTCCCCTGGGTTGTCTCTGTGCTTAGGTGATATAAACCTTTTTGATTTAAAGTTCCCATAGAAATCTCTTTCCTAAGCACCAGAATTAACTTCACCTGGGATCATGGACGTTCCTCCAACTTAATTTGCTCAAAACTCGGAAGTCTACCGGTGTCCTCCTCTGTTCCGATCCCATTACCGAATCCAGAAGTGGCAAGACATGGCCAACCTTGCTGTCACGGGCTTTCTTTCTAGCTGCATCAGTCCAGTGTCACCAGCCATCTGTGTTTCTTCCATCCTGGGTCAGCCACAGGTTTCCTTGCTCGTACCATTGCTTTTTTTATTGATCCTTTTTAAAAAATGAGCCAGTGCTTTCTTCTACAGTTTAGATTCTTCCACTGCTCATATCAGCGGCTTCAGTTTTGATTTTCGTCAATGAAGCCACAAGGCAGCACATTTCCAAATGGAGAGAGATGTCAAGTATGTGAGACGCTGCAGGAGGATCGCAGAAGACTGAGAAAGAAGATACTTGGTTTAGTAATGAGGTGGCGTTTGACCTCTGAGAGAAGTCTGGTGTGTGTGCAGCCTTTCACACACCGTACCTGTCCTCTGTGTGCCTCTTTCTGAGACAGCATCACAAGCTCAGTCCTTTCCACGGTTCTGGTCATCGAAGAGTCCTGGAACCAAATCGTGGAAAGAATTAAGTTCATGCACGAAGTTATGAAACTTCGCTTGCTGCCAGGGTCCTTCCTGCCCTTGTTCACTGTATTCCATTAGCACATCTCTCCAGCCTTCTCTCTCGGAACCCTTGGATTTTCTCCCTGTCCCCACATCTGAATCTTGGGATGTGTTAGAAATCAGGTTTTTGTTATTCACGTCTAAGCCACTGTCAAGCTGTGATAGCTCTTCACAGCTGAATGGCCGAACTGTTCCTTTCATCCCTGTGAGCACAATCTTACTTGGCTAGAGAGCAGAAGTTGTCTTTCTTTGGCCTGCTGTACCGTTCTTTTGCTTTAACACTGTTGGTCGTCCTCTCCTTTGAAACACTCTTCACGTCACTCTTGGGACTGTATTTTCCAGATTTTCTTGCCACGTCTTCGATGGCTTTTTCCTGATCTCCTTTGAGGCCTTCGATGTGCCTCCTCAAGACGGGTGATCTTTGGATTCTGTCCTGTAGTGCGGTCTCTCTCGAATTGTGTGTGGGCAGTCTCAGGCATATTTATGGTTTCAACTCCCACCCCTCTGCTGACCCCCAGTCGTTTGTCTTCAGTGCAGCTCTTACTGAGCCCCAGTCTGTACTTCTGTTGTCTACTGGGTCCTCCACTTGGGGCTTCCACAGAAGTTTTAGTCCAGGGGATTTGAAAGGGAACTCTTACCTTCCCTCTCAGACTTTGTCCTTTTCGTTTTGTCTTAATACATGGTGCCAGCAGTTGTTCCTCATCCAGAGAAGACGCCTAGGGGACACTGTGTCTGCCTCCTTGTTTTCTACTTTCACTGGGTCACAAATTCTATTGACTCTACTGCTTAGACTCCTAAATCTGCGTTCACTACTTTAGCTTAGCCTCTGTCCTTCCTTGCTTCATTATTTTGTTTCCTAATCACTCTCCCATTTTGCGTTGTCCCCTTCCAAGTACAGTACAGCTAAACTCCGCGTGCTCATTATGTTTCATTTACGTGGGAAGTGTTTCAAGTGTTTCCACGCCTCTCCGCTAACAGCCAGTGAATCATATCCTTTTCATTTTGGAGTAGGATTTGAATCCTGAGCCCTACGCGCCTGAGCATCATCTTAATCAGTTCACTTGTATTTATTGCCCTCCCCCCACCATCTTTGGGTGGCCTTTGAAATCTTCCCATGCTGGCCCCTATCTCTTTCCTCTCCTCTTACAATGCGTGCCTCAGAGACTTGGAATTTCAGGCCTGTTGAATTTCTTGATCTTCCTCAGAGGCGCCATACTTTCTTATGCCCTTGTGTGCTGGACATGTTCCTACCTTGCCTCTGCAGGGTAGGTCCCTGCCTCTACCCTGACATCCCCTCTGTCCTTCTTAGCTAGCCTGTGTTCCACTCCCATGACCCCCTACGTGCACCCTACAACTGCCGTGTTTACATAAAATGTTTATAGATATATATTGATTTTAGTGTAGTTTTAGATTCACAGAATAGTTGGCCACGGTAGCACGGGGAGTTCCCGTAAAGTCCATGCCTCGTTTCCTTGTTAACATGTCATGTCACCACGGTATAACTGATACAGCCAGTACACTAATATTGGCACGTTACTACTGACTACGTTTTACACCTCACTGGGATTTCACATTCTCCCGTGGCCTTCCACCCGCCCCCGCCCCGCCCCCCAGGAATTAGAGAAGCACCAGGTAGGGTTTTTTTTGTTGTTGTTTATTTGTTTGTTTGGTGGAATATCCCTCAGCTTGGGTTTTGTCTCTGATTTTCCTATGCCTAGGGGTGAGGCGGTAGGCTGGGAGGAAGACCACAGAGGCGAAGTGTCCTCCTCATATCAGGTCAAGGGGAGCAGCATGACCTACTGTTGGTGCTGTTAGCCTCAGTCAGCTGCCCGAGGCAGCGTCAGGCAGAGTTCTTGTGTAGTTACTTTCTGCTCTTGTCATTCTTCAGTCTTTGGGACAAAGCCTGGCGTTCGGGGCAGTAAACTACCTTTGGGATGGGAGCATTGTCAACATCGGTTTCGTACAATTTCTCTGTAAAAAAGATTGGTGCCTTCTTCATTTATTCATTCAGTCACTTAGTTATATCAATGTAGAGTACTTTATTTTCTACTTTGGATTATTATCTAATATTTTATTATTTATCTTGTTGCTCAAATTATTCCGCCTTTGGCCATTGGGAGCTTTTCCACGTTGTCTCCTCTGACTGTCTCAGCCCTAGAATCAGCCATTTTTCCCTCAGCCTTAGAATCAGCCATTTCTCCAAAGAGCTGTGGTTGGTATTTTTTTTTTTTTTAATTGGAAAAAGGTATTAGAAGCCAAAGTCTGTGTGCTGGATGTGTAAGTTGTTATGAAGGTATCGTCACTTACATGCCTCTGTGTCTTTCAGTCGACAGAGCTAGAAATGTACATGCCTGTAAGCCCAAGGATATATAAAAGTAATTATTTGTCTATCTTTATTACGTTAAGCTGGATGTGAGATCGTGCTGACATCTGTGGTTCAGTCTAACCCTTCCCCTTTCTGATCTATACGTTTCCCTCTCGCTGTGAGGCTTGACTCCCGCCACCATCTACCCACCCTGCTCTGCTTTGAAACTCTGATTGTTTCCCCCTCCTCCATTAGTCTGCTAGGACCTTTGGCACTTACTAAATCTTTGTTGAATGAGTGATGAATCTTGAAAAGTTTAGCATTTTAGCAGAATCAGTTTAAGTAAATGTTAATGTAAAGTTTGAAACAACTTTTAAACTGATTTCTTATGTAAGTACTCGTGTATATTCCCTGTAGAAATTCTAACTTAGAAAACATGAAATGAAAGAAGAAAAAAGAAAAGCATCCCTGACACCCAGGGGTAAAACTTAATATCGAATACGGCATTTTACAACTTTTTCTTTTCTGTAGTTATGTGAATGATACACAGTTTTCCACAAGCGTACGCACGTTGCCTTTCACACTTCTCGTAACCTTTTTCCACGTTCATATGGATGCATTGCTCAGAGTGGTGATATCACACAGTTGTACCATGATTTAACCACTTCCCATTTTAGGACGTTCAAGTTACTGCTAATCTTGCTATTCTAAATTCTAATGAACGTCTTCTTTGAAGTCTTGGCATGTGGTTTCCATGGTTTCCTTTTAATATAGTCCTGAAGGTAGAATTGCTGGATAAGTGGATTTTAAGGTTTTTAGTATGTGTTTCTGGGGGTGAAGTTTTTATATGAGTATCTGCTTTCCTATTGCTTGTCTGCAGTGAAGTTCTCTCCCTTGAGATCTTACATTCTTTTTTTTTTAATTTTTATTTTATTTTATTTTTGTCTTTTTGAGACAGGGTCTGGCTATGCAGTTCAGGTTGGCCTTGAGCTCACTTTGTAGCCCAGGCTGGTCTTGAACTCAGAAGGATCCTCCTGCCTCAGCCTCCCGAGTGCTGGGATCACAGGTGTACGTGCCACCACACCTGGCTTGCATTCTTCCTTTGGGATTATGGTAAATAGTTTATTTTCAAAGCCAGAAACTCACAACTACTTGTGCTGATTTATTTACCTGCACAGAGTATTGTGTCAAAGAACGCGCTGCAGTATCGGGGAAATTCCCAGCACGACGCCCAGGAGTTTCTGCTGTGGCTTTTGGACCGAGTTCATGAAGATCTTAATCATGCTGTAAAGCAGAGCGGCCAGCCTCCTCTGAAGGTGAGGATATGCATGCCCCTGGGCTCGTCAGGAGTGAGCATCGGTGAGCGAAAGAAGAGAGTGGAGCGTCTTCTCCCAAACCTCTGCTGAGGACTTGTTGCGTTTAGTTAATAGAACGAAACTCGCTAAGCTCTGGGCAGGTATAAAATCAAATGGCTACAGGAAGGGGTAGTTCGCTTTGGTACCTGCTGGACCAGCGAGCTGGAGTATGAGGGACGCTGACCCCACGGAAGTCGCAGTCTAGTGGGAGGGAAGCTCTGGCTTTCTCTCCCAGTAAGACACACGCCTCACAGATCACTAGAACTGCTGTGCCATCGAAAGGGGAGGTGTGCGCAGCTCCGCAGTTCGCACGGGGTTTAAGCATGAAAACCGAACCTTCGGCATGCTCTGACTGAGAGCATGATAGGTCACACTCAGGTTTTATAATTGGCCTTAATGTGATGAGTAAAGTAATTTATATGAAGGAGAAATTGAGTTACTCTCCTATACAACTTTCAAAGTTTTGGTAATTCTGCTCCGCTTCAAGTTCTAAATTTCTAGTTTTGGTGAGTTGTTATTCTCATTCAAGACCTTCTGTGCCCGAACACTGTTCTGTCAGATGACTTTTCGGATCAGGTTGGGACACCCTCATGGCCAGACACTGTGTCGTGCTTGTCTCTGGGTCCTGCTGTCCTGCACAGTGCTCTCTGCGTGTGCTCGCTGCCCTCCTAGCTAGTCGTTAGGTGGAGGGGCACGAGGAGGTTACATAACACGTGAAGGAGAGCATAATTCAACATCGGAGCGAAAGTCAGCACAGCTCCTAGTGCGGGAGAATCTAGGTGTGGGAAGAACTGCTATTTTTGAAGTGGTTGGGGTTGTTTCCTTGAAGAGACTGGGAGAGGGGCTTTGAGAGTGGGAGCGAGATTGGGCCGTCCTGGGGAAGGAGAGCGGCACGGTCCCCGAACGGGGTGGAGGTGGGTGACCTGGTTAGCAGCAGAGTCTGCGTGAGACAAGGAGGCGAGTCCACGTGACCCATGTGCCGTCTGCTGTGCTCTGGTTCCGGTAGCAGTGCCCGTTGCCAAAGCGTCTGAGGTGAAGGCAAGGGTGCCGTGACTCTTTACGCTCACTGTCAGTTAAGAGGTGGTGCTGTGCTGCTAGTGTGTGAGTTCTTTTTCTTTTTTAAGCCTCCGTCTGAGACTGATACGATGCCCGAGGGACCATCTTTTCCTGTGTGTAGCACTTTTGTACAAGAACTTTTTCAAGCCCAGTACCGGTACGAGCAAATCAAATATTCTCTTGTATTTTGTCTGCTTGGCATGGTTCCAGGTGATCTTACTGTGTTTTACATTTTTGTTTTAAAAGATCTTCTTTGACGTGTCCTCACTGTCAGAAACAGAGCAACACTTTCGACCCTTTCCTCTGCATTTCTTTGCCTATTCCTTTACCCCACACAAGGTAAGAACAGATGTAGTAAAATTTAGTTAAGAAGTACGTTCTGATAGTGTGCTTTTCCTTTGCAAGCTCTTATAAGGCCTTACTTATTCTGACAAGTGAGTCCAGGCTCTGTGGAACCCTGAGAAATGTCTGTCTGAGTTTGCAGGCTGAATGGGCGCGGGAAACGAGGAAGCCTGAGCCGTAGTCTGGTTCGGCTGGCTATCCGCTGGCAGTCTGGGGAAGAGTGAGGGTTGTTGAGTGACTTCAAGGTTTTCTGGAGACCTTGCATTATATTTTTAATGAGTTGCTTTATTTTGAACTGTTTCTCAAAATTTCCAGGAGTTATTCCATTTTAAAGAAAATACAAAGGACAGAACCATGTTTGTTTCTGTCCAACGATGTCGTTATATTGCATAATGTTGGTTAGGTCCTAATGAACGTTTTCCATTTAGCTTCCAGCAAAGGTGTGGCTTAGTTTCAGTTGATTTAGATCAGGCTGGTTTTACTTCTTTTGTACTTTAGTTAAAATAAGTGACTAATAAGAAGATCTGACTTTGATCTGTACAGGCCTCTCTATGTCACTGTAGTGTATCAAGGGAAGTGTTCCCACTGCATGAGGATCGGTGTGGCCGTGCCTCTGTCTGGGACTGTCGCCAGACTTCGGGAAGCAGTGTCTCTGGAAACAAAGATCCCCACCGACCAGGTAATAACCCCGCTGAGACTGAGTAGATACGAGCCACAAAGCATTTCTGCCTCTCTGGAAGTTGTACAGTTCTTTGCCAGAAGTGGCTAGATAGAAATTTAGACCAGTTGTATCTAGCATTGAGGGAAAGAAGTCAAGGCCCGAAAGAGTAAAATTATAGAAAAACTAGTTACGTTTAATTTAACTTTTTATATTAGTATCTATATATGCATGTTTATATGTATATATAAAGTGTATATTATATATAAAATGTCCTTTCCCATCCCTATGAAAGAAAAGCCGGGCTTTGCCAAGATCTTCTTGTCGCTTTATTTACCAAGTACAATGACTCAGCCATGCTTAAATCATCTCACCGGTGGCTCGGTGGCCCGCGGAAAGAGTGTCCTGCCTCTGTGGTGTTTGGTAGCTTAGAAAGCTCAGGCAGTGGCGCTAGAGTACCGCTTCCCGTTGCGGTGCTAGCGACAGCCACGGCGCCTACTCTGCGCTCTGCACGCAGCACGTGCTCGGTGTGTGGTCCTCCTGCCCCGCTGTGCTGGGCTGCAACTCTGGCCCGTGCAGCCCAGGCAAGGCTGCGCCACTGCACGGCACCGCTGAGCGGTGCACCCCACCCTGCTGCATTTTCAGTCCCTCACCTAGTCTAGGTGAGGAAAAGTTGTGTCCTTTTTTAGGGTACTTCTTTGGTAAGTAGTTTTTTTTTAATTGGCCAAAACTACCTTTGGCCTATCTGTGATTTAATACATTTTTTGATACAGTCTGACTCAGCTCACTATTATGCTTTTATTTGGGAAACATTCCTTATTTAAGATTTACCAAGGGAAGAGGACCGCGTGGCTGGGCGGGGCGGCTTCTGGGAGCCGCTGTGCGGCCGTCTGAGTGGTGCCGGAGCTGCACGTGGCTTCTCTGCCTCGTTTGGGACTTGCCGCAGTGAGACAGTGTGACCAGCAGTGCTGCCCCTGGGTGACACGCCTCGTGTCGCCGTGGTGATAAAATGCTTGTGCTCCGCCGGCCTCTTCCTCACTCTGGAGCATTTGTTGTTTTTTTCCCCTCCAGGGTGAGTGGAAAGACGCGGAGGGACTGGGGTCTGAGGCAAAGCTGGTTTCGTCTTTAAAGCTTCAATGCGTGAACCACATTACATGTGGTTTAAATGGGTGAAATAATCTCAAGTTTGCTGTTGACCTCAGTCTGCTGGACAATTATATTTACATGTTTACCGGCAGAAAAGCAGCCTGGCCCTTAAATTCATTAGGAGGAAACGTGCCAGGGACATTTCTCCTGGGGCCATCGGCCCTTTACCTCCTAGAGTTGAGCGCTCCTAGGAAGTTAGTGCTGGTAGGGAGCATCCCAGGGGTCCCGTGTAGTGCCCCCACGCTGTCTGAGGAAGGCCCGGAGAAACCCTGCACCTTGCTCATGGTCGCGGGCAGGCTGGGGCTGGGACCTCTGCAAGCTCAGTCTGGCGCCTTTCTCCAGGCCGTGCTGCTGAGCGTGTCATGCCGATCCCAGCTGTCTCCATTGTCTCTCTCCCCATTTTTTGGTGTCTGTTCCATTGTGAAATACTTAACCACTTCAGAAATACAATCTAGAAACTGAAAGGATTTAATACTAGTTATCTCGGCATTAAAGTTTACTAACTTTACTACTTTGTCATGTCGTATTCATTTAGATGTTTTGGTGTGTATACACTTTTATAAAAATAGATTTATTTACAACTTTTCTTTGCCTTTGTTTTTAGTTACTTAGTTCTTTCCTTGTCAGTGCAAATGTATGTAGTTTATTCTTTTTTTTTTTTTTGGTACTGGGGATCGAACTCATGACCTTACGCTTGCCAGGCAGGCGCTTATGCCACTGAGCTATATCCCCAGCCCCGGTAGTTTATTCTTTTTAGTAGCTTTGAAATTCTAGTAGGGCTGCACTACATTTAACTAATTTCCGTTATTGGATGTTTGAATATGTTTCATTTTTTTCCAATACAAATATCAGTGGTTATTTGACACTTTTAACCTAAAAAGTGGGAAATTCAATGATGAGGGAAAAGTCTCAGAGTCACAGGTAGATGCTGAACAGTGGTGGAGCCCAGCAGGTCTTTCCACCTCTCTTCCCTTGTGAAACAAGAGGCTAAAATTTATAATCTCCTGCTTGTCTTCTGCAGCAAAACTTAAAGGAACTTTGGATTTAGTGCCATAGAATTCTGAAATCAGAGTGTGTTGATAGACAGTTACAGAGGATGTTGTGCTTCTAAGATTCTCTCAGTAGCCAGGCTTGGTGGCGCACGCCTGTAATCCCAGCACTCAGGAGGCTGAAGCAGGAGGATTGCCATGAGTTTGAGCCCAGCTTGGGCTACATAAGTGAGTTCAAGGTCAGACTGCACTACATAGTGAGACCCTGTCCCCAAAACAAGAAAAAAACAAAAAACAAAGATTCTCTCATCTTAGAGGCAAATGCACTGCTAAGTTCTGACAGTGTGGAGAAGTTCATAGTAGAATTAGAGATCATTTCGTATTTAACGCCCAGTGTCCCAACCGTTTACATTTTCCCACTTTTTAGATTGTATTAACAGAAATGTACTATGATGGGTTCCATCGTTCATTTTGTGACACAGACGACCTGGAAACCGTCCATGAAAGTGATTGCATTTTTGCCTTTGAGACTCCAGAAATATTTCGGCCTGAAGGAATTCTCAGTCAAAGAGGTAAATGGGCACCTGTTTTCATAATACCACCTGAGTGTGCAGGCCTGGCAGTCGTCTGCCCTTTTAGATATTCTACGATGATACAAGTCTGTTTTATTTGTGGTCAAGCGCACACAGTAGTGTCTGTTTGGATTTTCATTGTCTTCTGTCTGACGCTTGTTTTTCTTGCTTTTAGTAAGACCTCCGCTTCTCTTACTATTAATGATCTATATGAACTCCACGTCTGAGTCCTCTTTATTGCATAGCTAACCCCTCCACTGCCAGCTGTGTGATGATCTGTGATATTTCATAGAGGCCTTACTTCACCAAGTTTTTCTCTCCCTACTTGTGCTGGTTTTCTTTAAGCCATTTTTAGTTTCTAGTTGTGTGTGTGTGTGCTTTAATATCTCTCCTCTGTTCCTTATATTTTACTCTTGAAGACTATTATAAATACCTTTTAAATATACCCTAGCTGAATTTACACAGAACAAAGCTGATCTTTTCTGTACTGCTGTCACCCTCAATAAATCACTATTCTTGTACTCTGTTCCTTTTTCTTTTTTGTTTTGGTTTTGTATTTATGTCATTGCCACAGGGATTTGTGTTCCTTATACTTAGCAGTTCATGAGAGAAGAAAAAGTATTCATAAGTTTACGGTAGAAAACCAGTGGAAGAGGTAAATCTCCAAACTAGTTTTTTTAAAGGGAAAAAGCTGCCCCTGACAGGCTAGCTAAGACTTTTGCTGGAAATTCTAAGAAAAAAAAAAATATTTAGACTGGGTAAGGTACTGAAAACATAAAGATAAATGAGACAGTTTCTGCCTATAAGGAGGAGGTCATGTTTTACATATATAGTACCCTTTCATATGAAAAGATTATTTAGAACCAATATTATATTTAAAAGACACATATTTATACTGTGAAGACAGTGACTTTGTAATCAAGGAATTTCTAACAGACTTCCCCACTGTATCTTCCTTACTTAGTAGTTCGGCCGTCCTGCCCAGACAGTAAGATAGGAACGCAGTGAGGAGCAAATGCTGACCTGCGGTCACTGCTGGGCTGTAGTGCTGGGAAGTCTGTCTTGTTTGTTCAGACGCGAAGCAGAGAGAACAGGTTTCTGATTAAAATCAGCGTCAACAGAGGTGAAAGTGAGAGGGCTGCGGTGGAGAGGACTGAGAGCTTCTCTTCTGAGACAGACTTGACAGACTCCAACCCTGGGAAATCACTGATTGAATTTAAGACTCCTTCCATTGTCTCGATACTGTTAACTTTTAGTTCGGCCAGTAATTAGTAATGGCTATGAGACCTCTGTTCTTAGTCTAGACTGCAAACCAGAGCCATCTGAGAAGCTTAAAGAAATAAGAAAAACAGGTGGCTGGAGCCCGTCTTTAGATTAGTTGAGTCACGTTTTTCATGATAAATGATGTTGCTATATTTTCATGTGCTTATTTGCCATTTATATACCCTGTTGGGAGAGTTTTCTATTCAACTTTTTTTCCTACCTTAAATTTCATTGAATTTTGTAAGAGTTGTAGGAACTCTCTATAAGCCTGTGTACATAGTGCTGGCCCTTCGAAAAATGATTTGCAAGGGTTCTATTCCCTGCTGGGGTTGTCTCACTTTCTTCATAGTTCATTTGCACAGAAGGTCTTAATTTTAGTGAAATCCAGTTGCCAATTTTTTCTTTCATTACTCATGGTTGTGCTGTCGTAAGGATCAGTGAGCAAATCAGAGGTTATAAAGATTTACTCTTGTGTTTTCTTCTGAGAGTTTTATAGTTCTTGCTCTTATATTTAGGTTGTTGATACATTTTGAGTTAATTTTTGTGTGGTGTGAGTTAGGGACCCCACTCTGTTCCTTTGCAGGTATGTATTCAGTTATCTCAGCTCGATTTGCTTGAACAACTCTTCTTTCCTCATGGAATAGTCTTGGTAGCCTTGTTGAAAGTCCTTATTTTAGTTTCTCTTTCTTTTTAGCCTCTATTTTCATTTTCTGATCCTTTTTTGTGGTTTTGTGTATTATACTGGTCAGCTTTCTGTATTGCCAGTTTAGGACTCAATTTTGTCTGGTCTATTCAAATTTACGTTATTGTTTTCTAGATAGTCTTAATTTGGTTTGGTTTTGATTTTCCTTTGGCCCAGTAGCTTTTCTTTTTAATCTTCCAGTCATTACATTTTCATTCATATGTTTTTGTTTAAATTATTTTCTAACTGCATTGTGGTACAGCATGTCTGTGTGTGTGTGTGTGTGTGTGTGTGTGTCCCCGTCCATATCCTGTCCATTTCTCGTCATCACCTTGTCCAGAGATTCTGCTCTCCCCTGTCTCTCACTCAGTCCCCAGGTCTGTTTACTTCTGTTCTTCCATTCATAGCTTCTACTGACTTCACTTTCTCACAGATTGTTGAAATGATCTTTTCTCTCCTTTGTCTTTCCCACCACCCCGGAATTCTCCGCACATGTGATCATTTTTGCCTTATCTTTCTATACCCAGCAATTCTTAACACACAGCAAGAGCCCAGCCAATGACTGTTCAGCTGAAAGTTCCCCAGTACTCCCTTCCTCACTCCCAGCTGTTCAGGGTTAACACTGCGTTTCTATTCATAGTCACGTAGGAAGCCCGGAGGTTGTCATTCTAGCCAGAGAAGGGCTGTGTTAGGAAGCTGTGCCACTTACCTAGTGTCGCCAGCCTCCGATCTGAAGACCCTGTGAGTATTGCATTTGCACACGAGAGGTCGCTACTTCCCCCTCACTTTGCAGACGAGGGAGCTGTAACTTAGAGAGGGCAAGTCACTGGCTCCCGGTCACACCGCTGGTAGTAGGCAGGTCGTGCTCTGAGCACAGCGCTGGATTTCTGGCAGTCAGGTAAGGTCTTGTCTTAGGGACCCTGCTCTCTTCTGGAAGAACAGGTCTTCCCACTCCTTCCTCTGCAAGAACCTGGGACATGCAGCCGCTGTTTCCAATGCGGTTTTCTGTTATCTTTATCTTCTCGTGCCAGACTTTAAAACGGTTATGAGTAAAATCCATTCTTGTTCCTTTTGTGATTTCTGTCTAGTAGTTCAGCTTAAAAGTTTTCTTCCCTCTTGTAGCTTGACACTCAGTTTGTTATTTTAGTATCTCTGTGTTTTTAAAAATTATCTGCAATTTATTTTGGTTTTAACTGTATACTTCTAATTTCAAATTGCTATAATGCTGATGTATCTTAATAGCAAGTCTTGTATTGCTGGATTTTTAGGTTACTGCCAGAATTGTGCTATGAATACTTTTGTTTGTTTTTGAGGCAGGGTCTCACTGTGTAGTGCAGGCTGGCCTTGAACTCACTTACATAACCCTCACTGGCCTCGAACTCACAGTGATCTTCCTGCCTCAGCCTCTCAGGTGCTGGGATTACAGGCATGCACCACCATGCCCGGCCCTGAATACTTTTATATAAGCCATTTTTCTTCTCTTCTCCAGTTGAGCTGTCACCTTGTTAGGCTCTATACTTCCAAAGAATTAAAGAAATGAACAGATATTTAGTCAGGTGTTCGTTGACGAGGTGCAGAACCTTGTGCTGGGTGCTGATTTGCTGGGTAGCTCTTACTGGTGGGGAGCTTTGCCCTGGGGTATTGTGAAGACCACTGTGCCTGCCAGACGTATTTTTGTTCACTCTAATGTGGATTAATCCAGCTCCATTGGTTTTGTTAAAGTTGGTGCTCTCATAATGTCTCTGGCTGGAGTAAGTACAGTTTTATCTTTTTTAAAAAATAATCACCAGGGACAGGAAACTATAATTGGAACATTGTAGACTATTCTGACTGTTGTTTTCATTTTTAAAAAATGTATTTCATTGCTGGTTGGCGGATCTTACTTTAGGGTTATTGGTGGGTCATCTTCAACTGTCTGGCATTCAATGAAGTGGAGAGTTTTGATTTTTAGTTTTTAAAAACGGCTAATTTAAAGGAAGTAATAGATGATAAACATTACTTTTATGGCTAGATAAGTAATCTTACAGTAGAGTATTTGTTCTTGTTTTGGATTGCAGTTTAAATTATATAAAGACAATTTCTTATTTTTTCCTTAGAGTGAATTTACTTGTAATGAATAAATGAATTTTGAGGAGATAAAACAAGCTGCTTTATTCTCTTTCAGGAATTCACTTGAACAACAATCTAAACCACTTGAAATTTGGCTTGGATCATCATAGACTGTCTTTTGCCACACAGACAGCAGCACAGCAAGGGAAAATGGGTCAGCCCTCTCCCAGAGCAGGGAGCGACAAGATTGTCCTGTTGGTGTGTAACAGAGTCTGCACTGGGCAGCAAGGGAAGAGGTGAAGGACGCTGACTTATCTGCCCATAGATGCTGAGACTGAGGGTCAGGTGCCTTCAAATGTTCCAAAGAAGCAGGGGTGAAAAATCCTTACTTTATTCACATATATATTAATTAATTAATTTATTTAATCTCTTCTAAATAGCCATACCTCATTTGGTGGGTTAGGAGGGAAAGAGTATAAAGTTAGGGTAGTAGGGCTGGGAACACAGCTCCGCGGCACAGGCACCTGCTTGGCATGTACAGGGGCCTGAGTTCGATTCCTGGTACCAAAAAAAAAAAAAAATTAGGGTAGTAGAATCTGAGTTAGAAGGGTTCTTAAAGCTCATCTTGTTTCTGAAGGCCTTTCCATACGTATTTCAGCTCAGGCTCTCTATATCCAGCTACTTTCGTAATAGATTTAAAAAAAGTTTTTATTTACTTGGTTGGTGCTTGCCCCTCAGTGCTCCCCATTCTTTTGATACTTTTTTTTTTGGTACCGGGAACCGAACTCAGGACCTTGTGTGTACTTACCAGGCAGGCGCTTGTGCCGCTGAGCTGGAGCCGGCCCACTGCTCCTCGTTCTTACGTCCCAAGGTGCACTCTTCGTCTTTCCCTATAAAGCTGGCCCTCTAGTAGTTCCTGTCTTGGCAAATGGCACCGCTATCCGTTCAGCTTTGTAAATCAGAAATTGGGGAGTTAGAAATGTCTCTCAGATCTGTCTGCTGCCTTCTCTAAGAATAAATTGGGGGAGATTTAGAATGTTTCTTTAAGTAATTTCATTGCAGAAATATTGTCACCTGAGTGGTCACAAGAAGTGATTTAGGGAGAAAGCACGCAGGGTGGTCTTCATCTGAATCTTTAAAAATTTTGCTTTGAAATGGGTTCCTTGGGTGGTCGGTAACAAACAGAAAATGTGTTGATGCATGTATTTATATTTGTTAGCAAAAATGTTAGTTTTACAGCATGTCAGGCACTGTGCTAAACCCTGGAGAATACAGCAGTGAACAAGACAGACAGGGCGTATGCCCTCCTGGAGCTGGCGTTCTAGTTGTAAACACATTTAAGTAAGGGGACACGTTCGGCTTGAGACAAGTGGTCACCGTGTTGAAGACCGTAGCACAAGGTAGAGTGAAGGAGGACATGGCGGTGAAGAGCGGCCAGCGGGTCTGGTTAGAAAGGGAGCTCGGGAAGGCGACCCGAGGAGGCTGTCGTTGCTCTGAGCCGTGGTGGGAGGAGGGAGAGCTGTGCAGGCATCCTGGAGAGCGTCTTGCGTGGAGGGGACAGTCCTCAAGGTGGGGAGGCGTGAGGTGTGTTTAAGGCACAGAGGAAGGGTCGCTCGTCCCACTTGTATGCAGTAGCTAGAGTCCCCTCTGTGTCTCTTAGAGAGTGATGACAGTGTCTTCGCAGACTTAAGTACTGCATAGCTGCTCTTACATGAGAAACCCTGAGTATAAATAACGTAAAGGGCAAAACGAAAGGTAGTCAGTAGGAAGCGGAGCAGGTCTTTTGCAGATGGGAAGGGGGTCTGGAGATGGAGGGAAGGAGAGGTGAGGGGGAAATGAGAGGAATTAGGATGTGAGACACGCAAGACCAAGTACCCACGATGAATGTGATCATTGTGTACCGCAAGCGTATACTAATGAAAAGGAGTGAAGAGAGTGCCTTGTGAAAACGTAGCTGGGTCGCGTGGAGCTCGTTTCACGCAGTAGTCTTCAGGAGGCTGGGCTCCCTGTTAAGTACTGCTGTGAGAAGACACCTGGATGGCTGTGAGGAATGGGTGCTTGGTGATGTTAGTACACCTGCTTCAGCCTCGTCCTGAGCCGGAGCTCACTTGTTAGTTAGATACACTGTCATTCATTCTTCATTCACCGTCAACTTTTGTAGGATTGGCCGTCCTGGCTGCTAGGATAACTAAGTCACAGTTACGGCCATCGGACGAGGCATTCTGTTGGTGGAGACAGCGGTGTAGACAGGCAGTTACAGCACAGCGTAGTTGGTGCTGTGGTCCATACAGGGGACAAACTAACAGGGCGCTTCCTGGAGAAAGAGACCTTTATCTGGTCTTCATGTGGGTGAGTAGGAGACAGCCTAAAAGAAGGTGGGAGGGGCGGTCCATGCTTAGTGACTTGAACAAAGATCTGGATGCATGAGAGAAGGACACATTCAGAGATCAGCATACAGGTGTGAATGGCAGTGATGCGAACCTTTAGAGCTTTCAGTGATACAAACAGCCTGCTGCGGATGCCTGCCACAGGTTCGCCACCTCGGGACAAGGGCGTGTATGAAAGTTGAGGGTAGACCAGTGGTCCTCAATGTCAGCTGCCTATTAGGACCCCCGGGGGCTCTTGGGAAAGAAAGTCCTTGAGCCCCATGCCAGGTGATTCATTAGAATCCCTGTGCGCTGGAGTTGAGCACCACCTTGTTTGATGCTGCTTTGGTGCTTTCAGTAGGCAGCTGGGACTGAGAACCAGTGCTGCCCCTGACTCATTAGCCCAGAGGACCCTGGCCGAGGCCGGGCGGCTCTGAGCTTGGAACTGGCTGGCAGTGGCACTTGCTTGTTATTGCCGCCTTCATTGTCTGCTACCAGGTCATGACTGCTTGCCGATGGGCCCTTCCAGCCCTAACTGCTCATGTGTCGCTTCACTCCTTGTGGGCTTGACGCACTGTCCCAGGCTCCTGGCCACTCCTACAGCCTGTCCTCACTGTCTGTTAATTCTTTCCCCTTGCTACCGTATAGCCTGGCATTATACTCCCTAGAAGTCATTTTGATATATAAGCCATTCACTTTTAGTTAGAAATCTAAGTTGTTCTTGTGACCTTTTCATCATCTCTTTGTGGAGTTACCATTGAATTTCCTGTTTGAATTCTGTCCTCAAACCAATTATGTTGTGATTCCATAGGGGATTGCTGTACTTTTAAGGTGATTACAGTGTTTATGTGTGGTAGATTTGGACTGCCTTTTGTCTTGCACTTGGAGAAGACGATAGCATGGGACCTTTTACAGAAGGAAATCTTGGAAAAGATGAAGTATTTCTTGAGGCCCACTGTTTGCATTCAGGTGTGTAAATATTTTGCTATCCCAGCAGAGCATATGTATGTACTCAGTGAGGAAACAGTCATTACAGTGAAATTTGAATTTGTTTCATTCAGATTTTCAAGACTGAGAACTTCTCTGTCATTTTATAAGAGGAGCTAGTTGCTGCAGGATTTTCCTTAAACTTCTGTGTCTTTTATAATATTTAACAAAGTTCAGTATGTGCTGAGCTTGGAGAAGTTGTAGAACCTTTATTTATACATACGAAACATTACTATTACTGTATTAAGGTCTCTGTGTAAGGCCGTTTAAGTTAATGTGCAGCGTGAGCAGTGTGCTGCTTGTCTTCTATGACATTTGATGTGTAAATTGCACTTGAGTAGGTCATATTTAATGTATGTCAGGATGGCTCAGCACCCTAACAGTATTATAGAGAAGCATTTTACAGAGAGATTGCTGTAATGCCCCAGTGAAACATGCTCTTGAAGAGAAATTCAATTCAGTTTCCATTGGACGTTTAATGCAGGTGTGTCCGTTCAGTCTGCGTGTGGTCAGCGTTGTGGGAATAACATACTTGCTGCCCCAGGAAGAGCAGCCCTTGTGTCACCCTACGGTAGAAAGGTAAGAAAAATATCACCTTCTAGAATTTCACACGGGTCATGTGTAATTTAGTGATGCACTGTATAATTCCTCTATAAGTGTGTTAGGTGTTTTAAATTCATTTAAACATTAAATACTTAGTTTTTACTCATATTTATATGTGGAGTGTTCTATGAACTTTTGTACAGTCAGAAAAGCCATGGAGCACTCAGGGAAGCAAATTAAGTTTGTCCTGGGACTACAGATAAATTACCCTCTTGTGTTTATCAAGATTGTTTCCAGAGGAGCTTTCTGTGCAGGATTTGGTCCTCCCTGAAACCCTGAAATTATAACTTGTGGCCTAAAAGATAAAGCCCAAGTTCCACAGTACAGGGAATATTTTTCACAGAAAACGGTTGTGTCAGTGCACCTTAGGTGTACGTGATCGCATCGTCGCAGGGGTCCGTGCCTGTGCGTGACACGCGTTGACGCTTCTCGTTTCCGCGACCCCTCCCCTCCCTTCAGCCCTCTTTGCTTCCTTATTTACAAAAGCTGTGTTTCCATCTTTCTTTTTTTTCTCATTTTTTTTTAGTTTTTCCTTTCTTCCTTTCCCCTCCCCCCTTGTCCCCCTTCCCATTCAAACATTTTCTTCCTGTCTCACAATCTCCATCATACATTTTGGTGCTTATATACACTTGCAGTTTATCACGCCAGAGAAATAATGGAGTGTTTACACATGTGCGTCTGATTTGTTTCACTTAAGAGTACGGTCTCAAGGTGCATCCATTTACTTAGGAGTGTCTTAGGCTTATCTTTCGTTATGGCAGAGTAATACTCCATTGTATAGAAAACCCCACATCTTCTTTGTCCATTCGCCAGTTGATGAGCATTTGGGCTGTTTCCAAGATTTGGCTGTTACAAACTGTGCCGCTGTAAACGTGTGAGCATGTATCACTGTGGTGTGATGCTTTTTTTGGGGAAGATACCCAGAATAGTTGGGTTGAATGGGACCTCTAATCCTAGCTTTTTGAGGAATCTCCATACTGTTTTCCATAGAGGTTGCACCAGTCTGCACTCCCACCATCAATGGGGAAGGGTTCCTTTATCCCCACAGTAGGGAAATTTTCCAGTTTGAACTCTGATTACTTCTCTTCTATCACACTTTGCTTTTTCCTTCTCTACTACGCTAAACTTCCCACAGTGTCAGAGTCCTGTTGGAAAATCCAGGCCATTTATATGTGTACCTGTGTGTGTGTGGTTCCCTCGGTCTGTGATTCTTTGAAGCTTTTACAATATTTCTTCTCCTCCATGGGAGTAGTTACTTCTCTTGGCTACCTCATTCTTTCTGCATATTTTGATTATGTTTATGGTGGCCTGTTATATTAATAAAATTATATAAATTACATGTACATTGATATATAAATTAGAAATTTATGCTTTTGTTACAGTATTTTTCAACAGATGTTATAGTGTCTAGATTTCAGGATTTAAATAAAATGTGTAGCATAGTTCTGTTTGAAAGCCCTGTTTGATTTTAGAGGTGAGAATAGATTAGATTATAATCCAAAATACTGTACAGCATAAGAAAGATTAAATGAGTGATGTTCACTGTGAGTGCTGAAGGATTTTCTCCGGAGATGGCAGTGGCCTCCGTGCGGGGGCGGAGGGTGCTGCTTTCATGAAGGCGGGCGGCGGAGGCGCAGCGTGGGTTGGCGTGGTGCCCGTGCTAAGCACGCGGTGTGGGGCAGGTGGAGCATGGGAGAGCAGACTGTGCCAGGAAACGCCTGTCCAGTCTCTGCGTGCTAGGAGATTGGGCAAAAATTGGAAAGGCGATAAAGCACATCTGAGAGTGAGTGAGGACACATAGCGTGATACCAGTTTTTCCAACCTCTTTATCTCCTTATTGGGCATTTTAATTTAAAAAATTTTCAGCCCACTTGTAATTTAGTTACTAAAGCCGTATGTATAATGGTCTCACTAAAAATGTTTTCTTTGGGGGAACTGTGGAGATTTTTCAGTAGTCACAGGATTCTAGGTAAGAACATAGTCACATTTAAGTAGAACCATTTTTTTGGATGGTAATATGTGGCTTCCCTGTTCTATAGGGCATTAAAATCTTGTGGACCAGGTGGTACTGCTCATGTGAAATTAGTAGTAGAATGGGACAAGGAGACAAAAGATTTGTGAGTATACTTAATATTTATTCAGTCTTTGTTTTATTTTAGTAGTATACTGCTGATCTTCCAAATTAGCTGAAATATAAATCTTTCCTCTCTTTAGCCACATTTGTTACTAATCCGCTTTTAAGCAGGCTGTTACTCTTTTCCTATAGTCTTCTTTATCTGAAAGTCTTAGAACATTTGCTCGCTGCTCAGAGAGAAGTTGTATGCTTCCTAACTATGATTTAGGTACAGTGACTCTGATTTTTCTTGCTGGCCTATCAATTCTAGCAAGCTGTATCAAATGTGTGTCTTTAGATACAAAGGACTGATTTGATGTAGTCAGCAGTGTTCATTAATCCCAGAAAGATTAACTTCAGGTTAGTTCTTAAGACAACTTTGCAGAAAGGCAACTTTTCAAGAACATTTGGGATAGGTAGAGGGGTTGGAGGACTACTTTGCTTTCTTAAACTCTGATCTTTTTGATTATCAAGCCATAGCTACTTTGTAAAGCTATAGTTGTATTTTTGTGTCTCTTCTGTAAAAAGCTGTCTGACAGTGCTTTGTCCTCTGATTGTAGCTTGTTTGCAAATACTGAGGACGAGTACATCCCCGACTCGGAGAGTGTCCGTCTGCAGAAGGAGCGTCACCATCAGCCTCAGACCTGCACCCTATCCCAGTGTTTCCAGCTCTACACCAAAGAGGAGCGGGTGAGAGACGGGGCGGCCTTTGTCGGGCGCTGAGGGCAGTAGCCAGGGCCATGGCGGGGTGACGGCGGAGAAACAAGCTCTGCTCCAGAACACCCCAGGAGTTTGTGTTGCGTAGGCTGTGCGCCTGCGGCCTGCCTGCTAGTGCTGTTCCTTAGGACTGTAACAAGAGTAACTCAGATTTTTGATAGATTGGGATTCTCTAGACGTGAGTCTAGTCTTTGTAATTTTTTTAATGGTTGATGATTTCTTTGCTATCTATAAGTTTTAAGTTACTTTTCTTTGTGACAAAAACAAATGTTTTTCAACTTAGTACCTGTGTACCGAGAACTTAGGTATGAGGACCCATTTAAATTTAATTAAAGCAACAAAAAGTTAGGAATTCTCCTCCACAGTTGCATAAGCCCCATTTCACGCGTTCACGGAGCTGTGCAGACGCAGAGCTCCACAGGACGGCAGTGCCTTGGACAGCTTGGCACACAGGGCTTCGCAGGTGCTAGGGGCTCGGTAAGCACGGAGGCGAGCGGATGGGCACGGAGGGGCACACGTCTGCATGCGGGCCTAGCGTGGGCGGTTTTCCTGTGCCTCAAGAAGTGCTGGCAGAGCACTTGCAGTTCGTCTGACCTTGCGTTGACGTTTAGTGTAGTGATTTTGACCGTTCGTTTTTAGTCTTCACTCCGTTACACAGGGAATTGTAGTTTGGGGGCTGAGGGTACTTTGAAGCTTACTTCTAGTGGTTAGCTCTGCCTGCTTAGTTTCAGAAGGGTGATTGCTCAGCATCCCATGTGAGGGCTTGTCTGCTTCCAGTTTTTCTCTGGATAACTCCAGTGGTGACTGGAGTTAACCTGAAGTATGCCTCTGCTTACTACAACTAAGAGAGTGCTCTCTCTCGAGCTTGTTCGCACTCGGAACTCTTAATTTTTTTCTCTTTTTCAAATATGTGAAAATGGTTTTCATATTCTGACTGCATCTTCTCACCTCCACGCTGTTCATAGCTATTTCTTTGAGTAGGAGTTTTTCATGAGACATGTGTCCTCAGTTTTGGGCTTAGTGCAAAGTAGCTGGCTTTGAACGTGACTGCTGCAGGCTGTGTGTGGCGCCGTACTCTGCTGCTGTCTTGGGCGATGACTTCTGAGATGCGGGAGAACAGTTCCACCAGGGTCGGAGGTGAGCAGGTCCAGTAGGTGACAGCACCGGTGGTCGCAAGCGTCTCACTGACTCACTAACTGACAGTTGGTCCTAGCAAGGCAGTTTCCGGAGGGGTTCCTTCATTTAGGCGGAAGCAAGGATCCTGGGGTCGGAAGGAGTGTGGCGTGGTTGTGAAACAGAAACGAGGCTGTGTGACTAGAACACCAGGGAGAGGGAGCGAGGAAGACGGGGTGAGCCCTCTGGGAACAGGAGCTGTCTTTCTCCCCAGGTAACTCGCGTGCTCTAGGACCGTGCTTGGCCGGGGGACTGTCCAGTAGACCTGCACCGGAGCCGTGGGTGGTCCTGGGGGAGTTCAGCGCTGGGCCCAGAGTAGTGCTACACCTGTGGGAGCGGAGGGGGAGGACCTGCCTGGCCCGAGGCTGCACGAGGGTGACTTTGGGCTGTACCGGTCTGCACGTTCAGTGTTGGTCGGCAGTGCACATGGGCGTGCGCCCTTGTCGTGCTGCCTGAGAGGCGTTAGCAACAGTGCCCAGCGCCCTGACAGGGACAGCACTGCTCTTGGAGTTGCTCTAAATATCTGCCTTCAGAGTTGGCGACCTGGGACAGGGTCATGTGCGGTGAGTGGAGTGCCTGGAAGTCACGACTAGCAGAGTATATTTTGACAGAGGAGGCCTTAAGGGATCTAGTAGCTAATTTCAGGCGCTTGAAGAATTGTATGTGGACAAGAGATTGAACTTAATTTTCTATAAAAGACAGAATCTAAAGATTGCAGAGGACAGGGAGAGTGACTTGTCTTAAATGTGAAGGCCTTATGGCAACCATCTGAAAGTGGGACCACCGTCTGCGGAGCTAGTTCCCTTTGCCGGGAGGTGGAGTCAGCACCAGGCCCAAAGTAACGGTGTGAATAGAGAAGACAGGGCTGGGGATCTAGCTCAGCAGCACAGCGCCTGCCTGGCTAGCACAAGGTTGTGAGTTCGATTCCCGGTACTGGAAAAAATCCAAAGGAAAAAAACAAATAGAGTTGAGGAGGAGGAGGGATGTCCAGAGCATGTTCTGCAGGTCTAGGTGCTCCGCAGCGCACGCAGTGAGATCAACAGATGCCAGCGAAGCCTCTGAGAGATGCTAGACGCTGTCACAGCGTTCTCACTGTACTTTACGAAAGTGGGTAATGTATTGAAAACCTATTTCTTCTGTAACAGCAGGATTGGGTGGTCGCGCACAAGGAAGTTTAACGCGCCACACAGAAGGCCAGGCTCACCGGATGGCGTTTAGCTTCAGTCTTTCTGATTACTCTCGTCCACCTACAGTTCTGTCCCTCCCTGTCTTCCTGCAAACATGACTGGTCTCCTTGTCGGGAGAACAGAGTTCTCTGTTTGGCTTTTCTTTGATTTATGATACCAGTCTTTCTCCTCTTCTGTTCTGCCCACTTTACCCTGAGTGCCCACCTCCCCCCGCCCAGCCTCTTGTCATCTCTCTGACCTGCATTTTTACACTGGTCACTGCAGTTCTTTCTTTTTTTGTCCTTTTGAGACAGGGTCTCACGATGCAGTTCAGGCTGGCCTTGAGCTCACTTTGTATCCCAGGCTGGTCTCGCTCTTGCAATGATCCTCCTGCCTCAGCCTCCCGAGTGCTGGGATGACAGGTGTGCAGCACCATACCTGGCCAGCTCGCTGCAGTTCTTGGTGGCCCCTCGTTGGCTGGGGTCAGTGGCCTCTGCTCAGACTGCATTTGATCTCTGCGTGGGACACGGTGCCGACGCCCACTCACTGCCAGTCTTCATCCTGGTGTCCCACAGCTCTTCTGGTTTGCCCACTTTTCGGACTGCACCTGGAGGCCCTGGTGGCTCTGAGATTTGGTATTTCCCTTAAAAAGAAGTATTCCAAACTGTGTGCTGGGCTCCTTTCCGCTTCAGTGGGAATTGTCGTCCATGCCCAGGGCTTCCTTTCCCTCATATGCTCAGGATCCCAGATCTGGTGTATCCTCAGAAGACAGAGTAAGTTTTTCATGTATTAGCACCTCTGAATCAATAATGCGCATCCTGAAACTTGCCCCTGCAGAGATGACATAAATGGATTCGGGGGCCTTAGACTGGTGTTTAGAAAGACTTCGCTGGTAGCGACAGGGGAGGGCTGTTTGGAGAGTTCCGTGTTTGGAGGAGAAAACGAAGTGGATGGAGTCCGGGTGGGAGGGTGCGTGAGGACTTGGAGTGACGGTGGTGTCCGTGGCGCAGGAAAGGGCAGGGAGAAGCGCGCTGCTTGGGCATGCAGCAGGAGGAGGGAAGTTTCCAGTCTGGCCTGGTTCTGTGTCCCACCTTCGGTGGGCCGCACTGGTATTTGCTGAGACAGGGTGTCCAGGAGCAGGAGGAGGGTCTGTGCTGGTGCAAAGATGTTGAGCTGAGTCTGGGAGTGTACTGACCGCGTGGTGTGTCTGTGACACCTGACGTCCTCCCTGTGGTATTTACCTGTGGTGGTTCCTCTCTGAAGGACAGTCTGGTCATCACACACTCGGGCAAATTCTTCTTCAGTGCCACTTGTGACTGTGCTTTGGTTTCCTCGCGGGAAGCTTCCAGAGAGATTCTGAGCTGTCCCCTGACCTGGACAAGAAGGTTGTCTGTCTGTCTCTCAAGGTCTTGCGTGAAGCAGTGCGTAACAGAAGTCATGCTCCTTGTTTTCAGCTTGCCCCCGATGATGCCTGGCGTTGCCCACACTGTAAGCAGCTGCAGCAGGGGAGCATTACATTAAGCCTGTGGACTCTGCCTGATGTGCTTATTATACACCTCAAGAGATTCCGCCAGGTAAGGAAATCTTTCTCCCAGGGAGAGGCTAGCGTGGTTGTTTCCCGTGCCCCTCCTGGTGGTGGTGTGTGGGTTCTTTGGTCCTGTTTGATCCCGTGATCCTATCTGGGTATGTATAGACACACATTTGCCCGTATTTGGGGTTGTGGTTTTTCTTTCCTGAAGCAAAATTGGAGCATTCTGTGACCCTTCAAGTCCTAAACATTTTAGTTTATATTGCAGATATTTTATTTTGTCTTGAGGGTTTGCTTTAGACTTGTAAATGTTTTGCTTGAAGTTTGGTATGTTTATTTTGGGATTAAAAGAAAATAGAGATGCTTTCTGGGAGAGAAAGAATTCTGTTTCTACCTAGTGTAATCATGAGTGCCGTCCTGCTCCCAAGGAGCCGCTGTGCCACGCGGAGATGAGTCATAAGTACATACAGCGAAGATACGCTTTTGTCGCGTTACTTCGTATGTCAGCGTTTCCAGAAAACCTGTCTGTTCCCTGAGATCACGATTCTCAGATAGCCCTGCTGGAAGAAGGGTACCTGGGGGTCTGTAGGCTTGGCTTTCAGAGCGTCTGTGACAGATGAGCAGGTGTCTTCCAGCGTAGATGGAAGCCAGGCGCTCACTTGCGGGGGCACAGGGAGCGGGGTCCGCAGGAGCACAGCACTCGTGTGAGACCGAGCGCAGGGCACTCGGGCTGGTTCCTCAGGGTGGGATGGTGGTGGGGCTGGGGTGTGGTTTCGAAGGGTCATTCTGGCTCCTGTCTGGAGAACTGATGAGAGAAAGACTGAGAATGAAGCCAGGGAGAGCTGGAGGAGGGCGTGGCAGTCCTCTGGGGAAGGCTGCTGCTGGCTTGGGATGGAGAATCATCCTCTTGGGATGGTGAATCAGCTCGAGCCGGGCGCAGGAAGAAGCGGAGCTGGCAGGGGTGGTCCGTGGTTCCCAGAGGTCCGTGCTTTTGCGTAGGGATGCGGTGCTCAGCGTACCTCCCCACTGGCAACGGGGGCAAGCTGGCTGCGGACTCGGACGCCGGCCTTCCGTGTCTCCCCCATGAGGACCGATTCCCTTGCTTTCGGTTCTTCTGGAGGTGTGTCTTCTCCCTTCCAGACACCTGGAGCTGAGTCTCGGCACTGCCTCTTCTTGCTTACCTTCCCACCCAGGCGGTCCCTGGCAGCTGGGCCGTGGCTCTCCACTGAATCTTCACGTGTCTCCTTCTGTCCATCCCTGCTGTTACCCTGCCAGTTCAGCCTTGCTGCTATTTTCCAGCTGGTCGCAATTTTTTAAACTGATTTCTTAACCTCCGTCACTCTGCCTTCTCACGTATTTCATTTGCTGCTCACACGGAGCTCCGGTGACATCACCTCCTCTGTCAAAGCCTCCGCGCGTCCCCCTTCACTACAGAACAAGGGCCACAGTCTCAGCCCAGCCTTCCTGGCCGTGTGGAGCCGTTTCTCTTATCTTCTGTGAACGTCTTTCTTCCCTTAGTAGATCTATAGCTCCTGGGGGCTGGTGCATCTATACCTGATTAGTTTTATAAAGCTTCTGTTGACTCAGAAAACATGTAGTAAACACTTGTTCCACTCATGTTTGGATTTCGGAGGATTTTCCTATGTGCTTAGTAGAAAACACAAATTACTCAAGATTGTCAGTTAATGACTGTGTGAAGCTGAGCCCGTGTGACTTCGTAGTGTGTTTGCTGGAGGAGGGGAAAGGACACTGCTCGTGGAGTGGCTCCCCTGGGACAGCCGTCAGAGAGATGTGTCCGCATGTAGTTACCGCTCCACTGATCCTCGCGCCTCTCTGACAGAGGTGTCAGCGTAACCGCCTGAAGTTGTCCACTGTTTTGTGAGTTAAAAACCTGAAAACTCAGCACAGATAAGGAAACAAAGCCTCACAGAGGTTCTGCACCCTCTGCATACAGATTGGTACTGGCTCCGTTTTAGTTGTGTTAGAGTGTGTTCCGCTAGACCAGCGGTGGCGAAGCTGTGCCGGCTGCGCCATGACAGGCTGTTTGTGTCACTGAGAGCCCTAAAAGGCCTGTCACCGCTACTCTAGATGGGTAAAACTCAGCCTGTTTCCCTGATACAGTGCGTGTCTTGGGAAGTGTTAAGTGACTCGGACCACTTCAGCAGATAGCGTCCACATTTTACACTGAACTGATCTGCCATCTGCTTGCGTTAAAATATCATCAGAACTTGTTTCTCTTCTTGTGACAGGAAGGAGACAAGCGTATGAAACTTCAGAACATGGTCAAGTTCCCCCTGACTGGCCTGGACATGACGCCGCATGTGGTGAAGAGAAGCCAGAGCAGCTGGAGCTTGCCATCCCACTGGTCCCCGTGGAGACGGCCCTATGGACTCGGGAGGGACCCTGAGGACTGCATCTATGACCTGTATGCTGTGTGCAATCACCATGGCACCATGCAAGGGGGGCACTACACAGGTCTGCAGCGTGAGAGGCCGTGTGTCTGTGCTGACGTCCTCAGGCGGGCTTTGCTTACAGAGGGGTACTCGGCTTTAGAGCTTCCCTTTCTCCTCGGAGGCAGTGTGCCAGGAGTGAGGGCAGACGCTTCCTTGAGCTCTCTCTCCAGGGCCGAGTGTGTTACAGACCTTCCTCTTTGTCCTGACCTGGATCATTTGGTAGTTACCGGATCTGACTGGAGTGTGTGTGTGTGGATAGCACTGTCTGCTCAGCTGGGGATTCAGTCTGTTTGCCCCATTTGCACTCCTCATTTAAGGTTTTGCTTTGTTTCTTTGCGATTCTAGCTTCTCCCTTACTTAGAATGACTCTGAGCCACTTTTAACAGTGTCTTTATTCTTTTTGTTCTAAGGGTAAATTTACTTTTTCATTTGTAGAAGCAACCCTTCATCATATGAAATTTAGAGACTAGAGAGAGGTGGAAAGAAGAATATCATGATCCATGGATTTATCACTCAAAGATAACCATTGCTAAGGTTTTAGACAATTGTGATAACGTAGACATAAGGAAATTACCATTTTAGCCGTTTCTAAGTGTGTAACTGCATTGTTTCACAGCTGTCATTATACATCTCCAGAACTTCTTTCATCTTTTCAAATTGACATTCTATACCAGTGATGGCAAACCTTTCAGAGCTTTCAGTGATACAGGCAGCCTGCTGTGGCGTGTGTGCTTAGGTTCCCCCACCACGGTACACCGCTAAAGAGTAATTTCCATTCTTTTCTAGCCCCTGACAACCACCATGCTCTTTGTCGTTGTGAATTTGACTAGGTACCTTCCATAAGTACAATCATACAGTATTTGTTCTTTGTGACTAGTATTTTCATGTAGGGTAATGTCTTTAAGGTTCATCCACCGTGTAGCGTGCATCAAAATTTTTTCTTTTTTAAGGCTGAATAATGTTGCATTGTATATAAATAAGACTTTGCCTATGGCATATACTTACAGTGTTTCCTGTGAATTGTTGCTGTTATTTTACACTCTTGTGTACTGAGTGTACTGGTGTGTTCCAATCAGGGGCAGCAGTAAGCATCTCATATTTAGCTTGCGATGGCCTCTGTCTCACTAGAGATGAATAGGTTTCCCCCTCTGTCTTCAGGAGTATAATCAAGTCGTGGGAGACAAGTAAAGCTTGCAGTAGTATGTCGCAGGTTCTGTGGTAGAAGTCTGAACAGGAGGTGGAGGCAGGGGGCCCGAGGAGGGAGTGGGCACAGAGGTACGGCACATACCGTAGTGGCCCTATACGGTGACTTCATCTAGTGCTGATACAACCGTCTTAGTTTGCATGACTACACTCTGATGTTCAGATGATGAAACTGCCTAACTCCACATTTTTCAGATATATCCTTATCATCTAACACTAGTGAATATCTTTGTGCGTGCTCACTTTTTCTGGAGTTTAGTTCTGAATTTCCTTGAGAGTCTTGGAAATGGAATTATTGGGTTAAGGGCATGTGTAAACCACTTGAAGGCCAGGCCGACTTTAGGGCTTCTTGCCTGGACACCCATTTATACGAGGGTTGAAGGGAGGACAGTACTGTTAGTTGAGTTTATGTGTGTGGGCAGCGAGGAGTATGAGTTCTGCATCCTTTATACTCAGTGCATTTCTCAGAGTACTTCTCAGGAACTTTATTTCTTCGTCAGTTCTGTGCTTTCTATAACAAGACCCTAGCACGTTAGTACTGACCTATATTTACAAAGGTTGGGGGAGGTAATTAGCCTCCCAACCCTACCCACAGCCCTACCCTGCCAGTCACCACGGGAAGGGAGTCTGTCAACCTTCCCAGCCCCTGTAGGAGCTCTCTTTCAGCATGTCCTCTCTGCCCCTCCCAGGGTAGGAGGTCAGGAAGACGACTGGATGCCGTGTCTTATTCTTAAAATCCTTTTTGTTCAGTCTCTTTAAATATTTAGATGATGCCGGAAGCACTTGTTTGTGCGAGAAATGACCCCAGCTTTTCAGTGTGTCATAATGGGACAGTTGGGACTGTCTGTTCTTGCCCTAGGAAGCACTTGCAAGGAGAGACAGAAGATAGCGAGGCTCCAGAGGGCTCTGACTTCGTAGAAGACTACATATTAATGAAATACCTAAGCACATCTAACCTTGTAGCGTGGCGTGAACTCACTTGAATTATGATACTGTGTTTGGTGTCTTGCATATTGTATGTTTGTATTTTGCGGGGGCCACTTGTTCAAAATCTGCTACTTGTACTTTTGTGTCATTACTAGTAATATTTATGTTCTTTGATAGTGAGTCCTGGAATTATACGCCCCTCATCTCTTAGAAATAATTTAATTTCATTGGTTATCTGGTGTCCACTGCCAGCATTTGTGACCAGTATTCATTCAGCGTACGCTTTGGTAAAGAAGTTGTTTGCCTTATAAAACAGTTCCTCAGGAAATTGGGGGCTGGCTTGTGATGTGCTTTTGAGCAGGAAACTTCGGGGAAGAGCAGGACAGTGCTGGGTTTCAGCACATCCTGCTGCTCTTTATTTAGAGCAGTCTGGAAGGTGCCTGAAAACCCTCAGAGGCTGTTTAGTTTAGTGCAAGGAGCTCAGGTTAGAAGCTGGACCCATCTGTCCAGTTCTGTGATCTTGGCCAGGTAACCTTACCCTTAACTTGGGTGCCACGTGATGGTAATATGTCTTTTTATTTTTATTTTTTTATTTTTAATTTTAATTTTTATTTTTTTGGTTTTTTGGTTTTTCTCCGGTACCAGGAATCGAACTCACGGCCTTGCGCTTGCCAGGCAGGCACTCACGGCCTTGCGCTTGCCGCTGAGCTAAATCCCCAGCCCCCTAATATGTCTTTTTAGATCAAGCTTGTAAGACTCATTCATAAATGCCTACAGGGTGAGTTGGCTTCGTGAACTCTTAAGTTTGCATTGGTGGGAAGGTGTGTTAGAGATAAACCCACGGCCTTTTGCATGCCAGGCCCATGCTTCCAGCCCCAGACTCTGTCAATTCTTTGTTTGTTTGTTTTTTTTTTTTTTTTTGGTTTTTCTCCGGTACCGGGAACTGAACTCACAACCTTGTGCTTGCCAGGCAGGCGCTTTTGCCGCTGAGCTAAATCCCCAGCCCCCCAGACTCTGTAAATTCTTGTTGGTACTTGAATGCTCTGTTTCTATATCGGGTTAGAGTTTGAGCTGGAGAGAAGACATTCGCGTTCATTGGCTTCATGTTCTCAATTTGCTAGGGCTCGTCCCTGAGGCGCGGTCTGAGTTTCTGCCAAGGGAAGAAGGTAGAGCAGGGGTGTCAGTGCAAGCTCAAGGAGCAGAGAAACTGGAAATGGGCTGGGCTGTGCCCTTCCCCTGCGGTGTGACTGCGGGACAGTGGATGTGGACCTCTAACCTGAGAATAATAATAAAGCAAATCTTAGAATGAAAGGGAGGTGCTTGGCATATGACATGTTAAAAAGAAGTTAGGTGCTGGGTTATTAATATAATTTCTGTTCATTATTTTGGGTCTCTAGTGAACACTAGAATGTTAAGTGCTTGATTGAGGTTTCTGACTTTGGCACTGTGACATTTTGACTGCGTGACTCCGTGCCATTCTGTGTCTTGTGACATGTTCAGCGGCACGCGTGCCTCCCGCAGCTGGATGCTGGTATCCCACCCATTGTGCCGGTTATGACGGCTCCTTCACTGCCGCGTGTCCCCTGCAGGGCAAGGTTGGCATGGTTGAGACCCAGTGCCTTAGATAGTGTATGATGTTTTCCAAGATGAAATAGAAATGTGTCTACTTGGACTAATTTGGAATTTCTCAGAATATTTTGCCTAAGAGTGATAGGAATTTGGGTTTTTTAACCTCCGTGTTACTATGTACAAGCTTGCCCGGTTCTTGAATTAATTACATTAGCCAAAGAGATGGTGTCAGTGGGTAAAAGGGACGGGCGGCATGGCTTCTGCCGGGTACTAACCGTGGGCTCCTCTGGCAGCTTACTGTAAGAACTCCGTGGACGGTCTTTGGTATTGCTTTGACGACAGCGACGTGCAGCAGCTGTCAGAGGATGAGGTGTGCACACAGACAGCCTACATCCTCTTCTACCAGCGGCGGACAGCCATCCCGTCATGGTCAGCCAACAGCTCGGTGGCAGGTAAGACTGACTCCTGTCCTTGGTCCGTTTTTTCCGAAGCAGGCGGATGTAATTCATGGACCGGAGGATCTCAGAATTTGGTGATAGGAATTTGACTTCCTGACTGTCAGTCTGATCAGGTTAATTCTCGCATATCCCTTTAATCTGGAAACCCACATGACCGTGGCCAGGGGCGTGAGGGTGAACTGTGAGGCACTGGTGGGCTGGCAGAGTTCCTGCAGAGACGGGGTCCGGAGCTGGTGTTGTTTCCCTGTGGGATGGGTGATGAGGGAGTGGAGACATAACCTGGCACGCTGCTCCGAAACCTCTACTTCGGGTTACCGTGTGCATAGCTCACCTAAGCCCCGTGTGCATCATCTCTAGTGTGAGTGTGATCATAACACCTACCTTGGGGGACCATGGTATGCACTAAGTAGGTCAAAGTGTATGAAAAACACTTTCATCAAGTGCAAAACCATTAAAAACTGTCTTTTTTCCAATTCAGAGATTGACCTGTTCTGCCAGGGGGACTGAGGGTTATAGTAGAAGGCGGCTTGGTTTTGTCTCATGGTCTCTAGCCAGTTGTATTAACAAACGCAGCAGCGAGCACCGACATACAGTGTGCGTGCAGCACACATAATCCAAACGAGGGGGCGTGTTCTGAGTCAGAGTGTGACGGTGAGAGAGCGTGACGGGCACTGTAACGTGGGGCAGTGCCAGCAGGAGGGGCCGGAGCACGGTGCCTCCTGCCCTTCCCAAGCCTGTGACGGCTCAGTGTCAAGCAGCCGAAAGGCAGCTTCACTCACGTGAAGTATCCGCTCGTCGGAGCCAAGCCCCCAGCGTGCAGCTGCTCATCTCCCGACCAAGTGGGAGCTGCCCCGCGCTGCGTTCCCTCTGTGCTCTTCAGAGTTGTGCTCAGGAGTGACGTGCCGGAGACGTGCCTGCTTGAGACGAGGCGTACTCGGGACAGGCCGGCTTGAAACTGTAGTCAGTTTCAAGCGCATTTTCTGCTGCCCTAATGCGTGGTGAAGGGCATCCCCCCGACAGACAGATACGTAGCTGTGTCTGAATTACTGACATTATGAAGTGGTTGAACATTCAGCAGGGCGGGGCGTGCAGCTCAGTGGTAGAGCACTTACCCACACAGGTGCTAGACGAGACTTGGGTTGTTTCTAGCCCTGCCCCGCTCCTTAAATCCCGTAAGGGAGTGAAGCTGAGAGAAAGTGCACTGTACGAAGGCTTGTTCTCTTCGAGTTAGAAATACTACTGTAAGTGCTCAGAACAGTGCCTGCCTGGCCTGGAGGTGCTTAGTATTTGTAGAACGGATGAATGTGCGAACGAGTGTCTCTTCCATTCTCCTGCCAGCTCGTAAGATTCAGACATTGCATTCTGCCGTGTCCTCCCTGTCTTTGCATTTATTGCTCCCGTAAATCTCACGTGTGGGAGCTGCCTTCCTTTTCTTCATCTTCTGTTTGGCTCTGGGAGTGCATGTCAGCCCTGGGACCAGGACTTCGGTGCTCCCCGCTCCGCTGCGACACCTGTGCCAGGGTGTGTGCGCACAGCGCGCCTGCTGGGCCCGGCTGACCGCAGTGCCTTCCTCCTTTTCTGCAGGCTCCACGAGTTCGTCCCTATGCGAGCACTGGGTGAGCCGGCTCCCGGGCAGCAAGCAAGCTAGCGTGACCTCTGCGGCTTCTTCCAGACGCACCTCCCTGGCCTCCCTCTCGGAGTCCGTGGAGATGGCCGGGGAAAGGAGTGAAGATGATGGTGGGTGTGGGTTTTGGTGACAGCTTTCCAGAGTGGTAACCAATGGACATAGCCCAGGGTCCCTCAGGGTTGTGAACAGAGTCCCAAGAGATGGTGGGAGAGCTGAGGGGCGTGTAGCAAGGGGGCTGCGTAGCTGTGGGTCGCAGTCATAAATACGTTTGCTATAAAGAGGGTTGTTGACTTTTCCTCCATGACCCAGGACTTCTTACTTCATTATTTTCCACTCCGATAGTCTAGTGTGCAGAGACTCGAGCTTGAACTCTGTATAGTAATGCACACATGTTTTTCCACAGTGCTTTGTAAAACCCTCAGAATGGCTCAAGGCTTAGAGAAGCTGTGCCTCGCCCAGGGTGCCTGGTTAGTGGGAACCGCTTCCACTCTGGTGACTCTCCCAGCCTCAGACTCCTGCTTCTGCACATACTTACAGTATAAAAACGGCAAACATCTGATAAAAATTGAGCTCTGGGCTTTTTTTAAAACCCTTCCCTTGCGGCTAGAGTAATGGCAGGACAGGCCCTCGAGCTAGTGGGACCCCAGGTGGCGTGGGAGGGCCAGGCGGCCAGTGCTGAGAGCTGGAAGGAGGAGGGGTGAGCTCGGCTTCTGTAATGAGGGCGGTGACTCATCCTCCCCCAGTCTCCCTCTGAGGCCAGCGTTCCCATCGCTCTCGTCTGCTTCTGGTGGTGACGGATAGTGTGAGAAAATGAAATGAAGCTGAAATTGCGGGCGGGTGGAAGATGACCGAATTAGTAGATCAGCGTCGCAGTTCTAGCTCTGCCATCTCTCTGGCTTGTAGCTTTCTTTATTTCTAGAATAGGATTATGAGGCTGTAATTGCTAAGCTCCTTGTCGCACCTAACATTTTAATTTAAGTCAAATAGTGAACTGTTGTATATTCAGGTAGAGGTTGTTTTGTTTTGTTTTTTTAGTTTTTTTCCGGTACCAGGAATCAAACTCACGACCTCGCGCTTGCCAGGCAGGTGCTGTGCCGCTGAGCTAAATCCCCAGCCCCTTTTTTTGTTTTGTTTTGTTCATTTTTAGAGGTTGTTTTGAATGCAGCCTGTAAACTTAGAGCTCCCTGTCAACAGTGAGCCTCCATTTGATTTGCCTCTATTTGTAAACACTGTAGTTGGTGAAATCAATATCCTCCCAAGCATCAGCTTGTTTAATGGGGTGCTGGGTAGTACCGGCAGGACACAGTGTGGCTGTTAGGATTTTGTAGAGATGGAGTTTCATAAATGCCACTGCTACAGGATCAAGTGTGCATAGTATTCAGTTTAGAAATTTTGGGGGGGATCTTTAAACCACTGCAAATACAAGTACTTTATATTGCCCTAGTTACGAGTTATTTCCTTTGGCAGTTTTAGGTCCCTCGGGATAGGTGTAGTTATATCCAAGTCTGTAGTTCTTCTGTTGGTGCACTTTGATAATTGGCTGTTTGTTACACACTGCTTTACATGTGGGCTAGAGGGGCCTGCAGGGTGACGTGTTCTGATGTTAGCTCTGCCTATAATTGTTGGTGTAATCTGTGGGTCCCGGGTGCCAGTCGGTAACGAAGAAGCTGGGCTAGCAGCGTGCTTTAGCGAGCATCTGTCAGGTGCCGGGCTCCCTGCTAGGCACAGGGCTTCTGGGACGTTGTGTCACTATCAGACTACGCCCGTGGTGGGCAAACTACGGTCCAAGGCCAGGCAGGGCCCTTCCCTTTGCTCTGTAAGTAAAAGTTTCTGGAACGTAGACACCGATTTTTGTCACCTGTGGCTGCTTTTGTGCCTCAGCTGAGAGTCGGGTGGTTTTGCCTGCAGACCTAACGCATTTACTCTGTGGCCTTTACACGGAAAATATGCTGACCCCAAGTAGAGCTAGGAGGCCCGGACAGTAGCTTGCTTACCCTGTGTCAGGGTGTCCCCATCTAGAGATAAGGGAACTGGGGTCCGAAAGATTGAAGTCACAAGGCTGCCCTTAACTCCGGGCGGGCTGGCTTTGAAGGCCATGTCCTTGTCATTCCGTGAGCCTTGCCTTTGTTCTGTAGTCAGTATTGAAGATGTTACCAGAGTGTTTGTGTTGGTTTAGCGTAACAGGAGTCTCTTTGCTGTGTGCAGGAGGCTTTTCAACGCGACCATTTGTGAGAAGTGTCCAGCGTCAGAGCTTGTCATCGCGATCTTCTGTCACCAGCCCTTTGGCCATCAATGAAAACTGCATGAGACCTTCTTGGTCCCTGTCTGCGAAGCTGCAGTTGCGTTCCAGTTCCCCTTCGCGGTTCTCGGGAGACTCCCCAGTTCACAGCTCTGCCTCCACCCTGGAGAAGATCGGGGAGGCAGTAGATGACAAGGTCTCCATCTCTTGCTTTGGTAGTTTGAGGAATCTTTCTAGCAGTTACCAGGAGCCCAGCGACAGTCATGGTCGCCGTGAGCACAAGACTGTGGGCCGGGCCCCGCTGGCTGTCATGGAAGGTGTGTTCAGAGATGAGTCAGAGCACCGCAAACTCAACTCCAGCGTTGTAGACACACAGAGCAAAAACTTAGCACAAGGGGATCACTTACCTCCAGTGTCTGATCCATTTGATAACAATAACCAGATTGCTTATGTGGATCAGAGCGATTCTGTAGACAGCTCTCCAGTCAAGGAGGTGAAGCCCCCGAGCCACCCAGGCTCACTCACAAAGAAACCAGAGAGCACAGCCAAGAGATCTCCCAGTTCCAAAGGCACTTCTGAGCCAGATAGGGGCTTGCGGAAGGGCAGGCCAACCCTGGCGAGCCAGGACTCATCGCTTTCCAGTACGTCCCCTTCCTCCCCTGATCCGGTGAAAGTCTCTCTGAAGCATTCCCGCTCTCGAAGCAAAGCAGATGCACCTTCCAGGGCCAGTGGAAGGCATTCGTCCCCCGCCCCTGGCCAACGCGGAAAGGAGGCGTCCCCCAAGTCCCAGGACGCTGTGTCGTCCCCCTCACCACAGAAGCAGAAGTCGGCCTCTGCCCTCGCATACACTGTTTCCTCTACGTCTGCCAAAAAAGCCTCAGGCCCTGCCACCAGGGGCCCCTTTCCTCCTGGGAAGAGCAGGACTTCAGATCGGACCTTGAGTAGAGAGGGCTCCAGACAAAGCCTGGGTTCTGATAGAGCCAGCATCACCTCCACCTCTAAACCCAGCTCTCCTCGGGTGAGCCAGGCCCGAGCGGGGGAGGGCAGAGGCGACGGCAAACACGTCCGCAGCTCGTCCATGGCCAGCCTGCGCTCCCCCAGCGCGAGTGTGCGCTCTGGCCTGAAGAGAGACAGCAAGTCCGAGGACAAGGGGCTGTCTTTCTTCAAGTCCGCCTTGAGACAGAAGGAAACGCGGCGGTCGACGGACCTTGGCAAGACAGCCTTGCTCTCCAGAAAGGCGGGTGGGAGCTCTGTCAGGGCGGTCGGTAAGAACGCTGTGGACGGCAAGGCCGAGAAAGGCTTCCAGCCTCCGGGCTCCCAGCAGCCAGATGCGAACGCGGCTGGAAAGGAGCCTGTCTCCAAGGATGCTGCTTCTGCTAAACACTCCCTGCTGTCTGCCCGGAAATCCAAGGCTTCCCAGCTAGATTCTGCAGTTCCTGTGTCTCCGGGTGGCCGGCAGTCTGCTGAGAAAGCCTCCAAAAAGTTACCTGCTGGCATGCAAACCTCCGCACGGCCTTCTCAGAGACCTCAGTGATAGTTCTGTAACCCACGTGTTTTACCCGTAAAGGTGTTTATTTATTTAGAAGCTCCCCCCCCCAAAGCCCTTTATTCATTTGTTTTGTATTTTTTGGGTCACGTGCCTGACTGTGTGTGCGGGCGTGTGTGTGCGTGTGTGCGTGTGTGTGTGTGTGTGTGTGTGTGTGTGTGTGTGAGAGAGAGAGAGAGAGAGAGACCAATTCAATCGCAAATTGTTAAAAGTGTCGCCTTATTCTGTCATTGAACCAAATAACAGCCATAGGCAAAGCGTCAATACCAAGCTAACAGGAATAATTGTAGATTATACCCAGGACAACCCCTTTAGCAAATGTACATATTTCTTTCTAGAGAACTCTAATGACTTGCATTGGACACTAGGGTTTTGAAGCCTGTGAACCAGCTAAGCTATCACTGGTGTACAGGATTTGACTTGGGTTTCCTTTGAGCAGGATCTGGCCTCACTGGAACTTTCGAGTGGCACCAGGAGCTCTAAAGACTGTGGCACTAACACTAAACAGAGGGAAGAACTTGCTGTCTGCACTTTTGCCCCATCTGCCAGTCTTTGTAAAGGGCAGTATTGGAACACTAAGGTTTCTCAGGTGTATATACCCCGCTAGTCTGGGCTGGACCAGTGCATCAGTAAATGGGTTACGGAGGAAGGTGACGTGTGGTGACTGTCATTTGTTTCACTGCCACAGATGGAGGTTTCAGAGGTGGTTATGAAAGCTTCGTATCTGCAGAGATGTGTGTCCCCTAGCCTGTCTTGACACTTGGGATGTGTCCCAAGGTGGCAACTTGGATAACCAGAGAGCCAGTCACTAGTTGTCTCCCTTCTACCTTTGCCAGCTAAGGCTGTTGAGATTTTGAGCTGTAGCAGAGCAGTCATCACCTCTGAAAGATACCTAGAGAGAAATGTGTTCTGAGCTGGAGGCAGGAATTGATACCATTTTCCTTCTCTGGTGTTGCTTTTTCTTGTTAGAAGTTGACGGCTCCGTGCTGCACCGTGTCTGCGTGCTTTTTTCCTATCTTGTAATTTGGAAAGAAACTGCCTCCCGCCAAAAGTCGGTGATGGCCTGTTGAAGCGACGTCTGACAAAGTATTGATATGCACTTGAGATCCTGCCTGTTAAGACTGCCTTTCAGTAACTCATTTATGTCTTTGTGCTGAGGATTTAATTTCATACCAAGCACTTGCAAGCAGGATTTGGAGAACATTCCATCTGGCATTGTCAGTACAAATTGCATTTCTTTTGTATTAAAAGGGGAGCCTCATAGAAATATCAGATAAGCGAAACCTATACTTCCTCAGGTTTTGTGGCGGTTTCCTGGCAATACTTTTCTGCTCAAGCTTTAGCTTTTCTTTCTCTATTTTTTTAATATTAAGAGAGTCATAGTCCTGATTCTCCTTGAATAGCGTTTGTCACTTTGCCATAAAAGCCTGTTAAGTTAGTTTATATGCTTTACTTTTTTTCTGTCATAAACTGTTGAAATTTTTCTGAACTCTTGGTGCACAGATCCACTTATCGTCACCCCTTTCATACTGCTGTGTATGAAGTAATCACAACACATAAGCATGCAGAGCTGTGAATTCTGCACTGCCTTTTTCTTTCTTTCTTTTTTCCGTGAGTACCTCTTGGGAAATATTTCCAGTAGGTTATTTGACTTTATGTTGCTGCTAATTTGAGCATTGGCTGGTAACTTCCAGGTCTGGAGGTCATTTATGTTGAGGGCGGCTGGAATTTTAGACCCTCGCAATATTTAAGACTGACTACTCAGTCTTGTAAAAGTTACTGTGTTGCTCCATATAACTCACTGAACATGAGCCCCTTGCACCCGCCCCGACCTTGCCGCCTCACGCGGTTTGCCTGTGCAGTTTTTGGTGGCTTTGCGGAGCAGCAGTGCTCTCTGCCGCACCGTAACTGCAGGTCACTGGCTGCCTTCCGTACTACATGGCTTCCCACGGCACATTGGCAGCCCCACTCAGACTTTCCTGTGCCGCTTTTATGTCCTGAGAAAGATGCACCACGGGAGGGACCGTGACTGTCAGGAACGGGATGTTTATCTAACTTGAACCTCTCATCTTTGTTTAGGAGATAGGTCTCATTTGAAATTTTTTATCTGAAGCTCTGAAGCAGTCTTAGAATTATATTTGACAATAGCCAGAGAGTTTTAATAACACATTTTTTTTGCCCTAATCATTAAGCATTCGTAGAAACCAGTTTAATTTTCACAGTGGTAAAATATTCTTACTCTGAAGCCCTGTAGGAATGGAATTTCCATTATGTATAATACCTTTTTAAAAGACTCTATAAATCTCTTCAATTTTCCATGGGATCTAGAAATAAAATTTCTATAATAAAATCTGTAAATGTATGTCTATGGAGTTTAGTCCTTGTTTGAGAGTTAGTTGAATAGGAAAAATCAGTATTATGGCATTGTCTAGGAATCATTAAGCTGTTACATTTCCATGGTTGGTAAACAATGAAAATTTCACTGTTCCTAAAAACTAGGTGCAACTTGAAGCCGCAGAAAAGGGTGTTTTGCCCGAAAGTTTGGAGGTGCTTTTTAAAGAGTGAAGTCTGAGGGGGCGTCGTGACTTGGCTCAGTTCAGTTCTTTCTTAGGGTCAGAGACTCGTTTTTCTCCCCTGGTGGTATTTGGCACAGCAAACATGCATGTGCTTCAGGGTTAAAAGTGATCTGCTGAGGAGGTAAGCCTGGGTTTCTGGTCGGCCGTCAGATGGGCCTAATTAGTACAGTCACTTCCTGACAGGCACCAGCTAATCAGCACACTTCCTGGTGAACACCACATAATTACAGACTTGGCTTTGTAGTGTTTGTTTGCTTTTAAAAAAATACAACTTTTTATTCGTGATTTCTTTTTCTGTACAAATCCCGTGTACCGAGGCTGTATCATTCCTTGAGACGGCCCGACTCCTCTTCCCTTAGTTGGAAGCGCAGAGAAACCAAGGAAGCTCCTCTTGTCTCACACCGCCTCCTCCCTTTTTGATTTTCTCATCCTGACAGCAGCCTAACTGAAGGTGAAATGCTGGACCAGTAAAAGCACATGTGGAGTGTTTGTAGTATACTAAAATATTGTCATTATCCAGGAGGCTCTTGAAATCAGGCTTTCATCATTCGTTTGTTCTGCAAACATTCTTTGAGGGCCTGCATTGCATTTAAAGGCAAGCTGAGAGCTTCAGGGATTTGCTGTCGCTGAGGAGCCCTGAGAACACAGCTGATCAAGCAGAGGATGCTAGTAATGTCTGAAAGAGTGACATTCCTTCTCAACAGAAAGATCTAATGGGTTCCGGTCAGTGGGCTAAGGCCTGTGGTCCTCTCGAGCACATCCGTTCTGTCTGGAAGCCAGAAGTGCCGTTCCTCATCTCTGGAGGCGTTGCACTCCTACATCTGCTAGTTCAGACTGAGCTGTCTGCTGTTTAGGGAGTGAAGAGTCCATTACACAGTCACTGTACCTTGGAGTGTGTCCATCCATGTTTGTACCGGACAGATGTGTGGATTTGTGTGTGTGTGTGTGTGTGTGTTAGAGGGGTGTCCTCCCTCTGTCGTTTGAAAAAACAGGAACAGTTGCGGCTGCTTTAGGGAAAATGAAGCAGAGAAAAGCTGTGAACAAAGCTCATTTATTTCAAGCAAGTAGATGGACATTGATGTTTTATTTCATTGTGACAGATTACTGAACATTCTGACAAATGACTGTTTCCTGTATAGATGGTTGTCGTCAGGTAACAAAGATACTTAGCATTCCTGGCTTAGATTTCTGAGGTAGGATGCAAATTATAAGCACAGATTCAATAAATATGTTCTGGAGGCACACTGGAGTTTGTGTTTGAGAAGGACAAAATTTGCTGACAAACCAGTGCCTGTTGTAAACACAAAACATAACCTTAGTGTGCAGGCTGTTCTGCCTTTAATTTCATAAAGGGTACGTTATTGTTAATCTGACTACATGTTTTGGGGGTGGGTCATCCGATGCTTTTATTTAAATAAATACTCAGTGTCTCATACTGCCTTTGAGCAACCCCAAAGTGTTTGTTTTTGCAGCTGCATTTTGAGCATGGCCAGTCATTTTCACCCCAAGTCCTGGGAAGCATTTTGCATGCCCTCCATCTAACCGACAAAGCATGCTGTTACTACCTATGCAAACCACCAATAAAAAGGCTGTACTAAACGTTAAGTTTTAAGAACGCAGCTCTTACATTACGGAGCTCTATTTTTGACTTTGTCATTTTTAAAATGTGGCTTAATCAGAATAGATGAGCATGAATGTGACTTCTTGGTTAGCTTTGTGTATATTTCTGTTTACTGATTTTTTTTATCATTGGCGAGATTGTGTGTAGAATAAATATTTTGCAGGCAGCAGTGGAATTAGGTATGTTGAGCATACATTGATGTATATACTGTATTTAGCCTGAAGACTTTCCTAAAGTATTTTGTTCTAAAAATAACCTGCCATTTTCTATAGATTTTAATTTTTTATATCTTCTAGGGTTCTATCGTGGTCACAGGGACGGATGTGGCCTCCGGTAGTGCTAATGATTTTAAAACGCTTTCGTAGATAGAGCTGTTTTGGAAAGCTTTGGGGCATCCCTCCCGCTGATCACAAGAACAAGGCTCTGAAACTTGCGGTGTTGTGCAGTGGATTTGGGTCTACATCCACCGGATGCTCACTTAAAGCCAGTGCTTTCCACTTCGGGAGAGAAGGGGGTTCATAGCTGGTGTGAGGACGCCCGTTTGACCCTCACACGTACCCTCTCTGAGAGCCTCTTTGGCCTGACCTGAGTGACTCATCTTCCGTGGTACCTAGCGTTCACGAAGATGGCCTGGGACTTTCTCCTGTCTGGGTCCCCCTTGCAAGCTTCTGACCTGGTTAGTGTAGGGGTGGGTCCCAGCATTGCCCCCGATCCTGAGGTTCCTGTGTTCTTCTAGTTTGCAGTCAGGATTAAGAACCGCTGTGACTCACCATCCCTTTGCCAAGACTGACGGTGAGAATCACTGGCATACAGAGCGCTCAGGAGTGACTCCAGTTGCTCAGTTCTGGGGAGGAAAGTGGAAGAACTGCTGTATCAGGGTCCTGTTCGGAATATGCAGTGCGGAGCATTTTGTGGTTGGCGTGGTGCCTGGCAGCGTGGTCGGAAGGGTGACTTCCGCTGCCGGGGTGGGCAGGGACGGGTGGGTCTGTGCCCTTCCCCAGAGCTTCTCAGGACCCTGTGGTGGGGCTGAGGTCGGGGGGGAGTCGCTCTGAGTTGGAAAATGTAGAGGAAGAAAGTAGAAAACGACCTTTCAGGCCTTGCAAAACCTGTCCCTGCTTTTGATAGAATGGCTGCCTTTTTGTAGTAATGAAAACAGCAGCTCCCAGGTGGCTGCTGACTCCTGAGCAGCCCGCTCTCCCCTGCCGCTCTCACATGGTTTCTGGACTTCTTTTTAGTTTGAAAGTGAAGAGGAGACATTTTACTTGGAATCTTTTTCCTTTTTCCTTTTGGTAACTCTTGTTGCTATTTTTTCATGTAATTTTGAAAAAATCAAGTCGTGCACATCCAGAAGTGGGGCCACTTTATGTTCACCTATGGAGGCAAAGGAGATTTAATTTTAATCTGTAGTGAGCTGAATGCGTTCCAACATCTGCAAACTAATCAGTGCGCGGTGGTTCATCGCTTTGGGCATTGTGCCGCCTACAAATACAGACACAGTTGATCCAGTGTTTTCAGCCTTCAAGGAAGAAGCAAGGGAAAGTCCAGGTTGGACGTGCTGCTTTAGAAAGGCCTTCCAGGGTGGAGATGTTCTACAGTCACGAAGATGCAATGTGAAATTCCCAGGTGCTATTCTAAATGGCATGGTGTCCTTGTACCAATGGAAAGGCGGTTGGTGTTTGTGAAGTTGAAGTTCCCTTTGTAGGCCTTTCAAACACGCACTTGCGGTTCATACAGGTTTGCTCACCAGACGTGCCTCTCAGCACTGGTTAACACTGAATTCAGGCCCCGTTCCCAAAACAGCCTCCCGATGGAACTCCCACATTTACACTGGAATTTCTCTAGTTGTCCTGAAAGCTGCATGTCATGTCACTGTACACAAAATGCTTTGGTATTGTTCATGTACCATCGAAAATTCTGTGTAATTTTCTTCTTTAGTTGTGTAATAAAATGGAAGACAGGATGTCTTTCCTAGCAGCTGGAAAAAAAATCTTACATTTTAAATTATTTTAGACCAAGGGCATGAGATGTGTCACTGACTTCTGTTATTTATTTGTATGTTTTGTTATTCAAGGTGTATGCACTTTTAAGAAACAGAATTTATATTTTTATGTTTGAAGCATTTTATTTCTGAAACAGCAGTTATGATACAGTATACAGTTGGAATTAAGAGACAAGTGGAAAATGTAACAAAATATAATAAATTTATTACATGATGCCCTCTGCAAGCCATATTCCTCTTCTGTCCCCCTGGCCAGCCTGTGTCTTTTGGGTGTTGACCAATAGCGTTTGTTCTGTATCGACCTATGCAAAATGCCTTTGAATTGCAGTGCTAAGTGTAAAACAAGTTACAAGATACCTCAGATATTCTGTGTAAAAGTTAGAAAAAAAACTACATCTGTGCTTACGTAATTTTCACAATTAGTGATTACGTGGCAGATCAGAGGCAGTTTGTCCTATGTTGAGCCAGACGGGAACTCATTCTAATTCAGTTGCAGCAGGCTTTTCGCATTCTGTATTGTTCTGCCTGTCCCACCGAAATTCTGTGGCAGGAGAAAACAGCAGTAGAAAAGGGCGCACTCCTTCTCTCCCCTGCTCCGCCCCTGACATACATGTCACATAACCGTCCTGTTCTGGGGACCCTCCAGCTGCCCTTTCCTTCCTTCAGGACGGAATTGCCTGTTGGAGCTGTCACATCACTTACGACCACTTGGGGGCAGTAGAAATCGTTACTATCCAATGCCTTTGCGAAGTCCTGCCTGCAGCTTAGCCTTTCCGTGAGTGTGGCAATGCGAAGGTGAGCAGTGCGAGCTTCCCCTGGGTGAGGACCCCTGGCCATCATACGTCCCCAGAGCTTGAACCCAGGTCGCACAGGAGATCCTGTTTTCCTGGAGCACAGCACCGTGGGGCTTCGGGTTGACCAGGGAGGTGGTGTCCTGGCTAAGGGCCCGTGTGAACCCCGTGCCCTAAAAACCTGAGGCACAGCCCTTGTAACCGACTAGTTTTACACGGTGAAGTTTTGCTCTAGGTTCTACTAGAAAATGTAACCATGTAGCATGCTGATTATTTAAGAGGCTTCATGTACTGACAGTGTTCACATGTCATAAAATACATATGTTTAGAAATTATGCACATGTTGAAGTTGAGATTTTGTGGCCTTAGAATCAGAAGGGTTATTTTCAAATACTGGGTCAGCATCTCTGAGTCTTCCTGAGGAAGGCGAGGGTGTGAGCCCCTTTCCCTGGACCACATGTCGTACGTGTGGCAGTGCCCCGTATGGAGCTGAAGGCCACGGACCTGGCAGGAAGTGGCTGGCCGCCTGGCCGCAGCCCCAGTGCTCCTGCCCTTCCCCAGGTGGGCCCCAGGTGCTCGGTTCCCTTTCTCAGGATCTCTGCCTGTTGTCTGGGAGTTTCTCCTCTGCACAGGTGGGGTCTGCCTCATGCGGAGCTTGGGATGCCGCCCTGATGTGCTCACGCCTTGGGCATTGTTTGCTCCCCTGCTGGCATCTGCTGCGCAGGGCGGAAACGATCTCTGCGTGTGTAACCCCGTAGCCTCCTACCCCACGTCTTAGACCTTTCAGAGATGCACATTGGTTTGGGTTGCTCTTTGGACTTAGCACAGCTCCCTTTCCTGAGCAAAGTGCGAAGGTGATTGTGTGACTCTAGTAGTCAAAATCAGGCTTCGCTGCTACCAGTGGCCTGAGGCCCATGGCATCTTCTCGTTGTCCCCTTGCCTTCCCTTTGTTTAGAAAGAATGCACGGCGGTCCGGAGCGTGCAGAGCCTCCCGGCGTGGAGAGTGGGCAGTGCAGGGGCTGCGTGCTGCGGCTCGTGAGGCCAGCACAGCCCTAGGGTGTGCGTCCGCAGGAGGTCACGGGAAGGAGCCGGTTCACTGTCACTCAGAATCGAGTCCTGGTCCTCACTTCCGGCCTCATGGTTCCCTGGAAGGAGGGCTTCCGGCGCACAGGGAGCTGCGGGTGGGGAGCGCCAGCCTTCTGGCTGGCTAGCTTCCT